ATTTGTGTGTTCAATTTGTGTGAATGAAACAAAATAAGCTGTTTTTGATGAAGAAACATAAAATAGTGTAGATCAGAAAATGGCATAATATGGACTTTTTTTTTGAGTGTGATAGTAAAAATATCTCTTGGACTATATTTACATGAATGGGTAGAGGATTGTGCAGTGTTTGGTTCGTCGGTCTGTCGTAGGAGGCCAGGTTAGTCTCTCCAGCCCAGGGGATATCTCTCTCTGACACACGCAGAGAAGGGGACACTGGCTGCTCTATGCAAATCAGCCTATTTCATATCATAGTGCAATTTCAAATGTCATCTCCTCCGATGGGGCCGCGGAGAGCAGAATGTCACGGGGACACAGGTGCATGTTGGGAACCGTGCTTACCCTGTCAACAGTCAACAATGCTGTACCGAGCCAAGCCAATACACAGCGCCGCTCGTAGCATTTACTCAGCTGTCAGAAAGTGTGAGTTAGATATGAGTTATGGCTTAACCTCTTAGCTGCAGGTTAACCATTGCAGATTTACTTGTATGGGATGCTGTTACTGTTGGTGGCCCAGTGGTTGAGTACTCGCACCTCACAGCAAGATGGTCCCCAGTTCAATTTCCATATTGTGTTCGGCTTTACTTTATATAGTTTTGGTATGGTAGATTTTTGGTGATGTTGGAGGGTTTTCGTAGATATCGATATCGGACGGCCTGTCACGATAACGAATCTGAAGTCTGATATTTTACTGAAGTAAATATAGATGATAAAAAATAATACTGAAACCAAACCATAAAGCAGAATTATTTAGGAAAAATATGAATGTGCAAGATTGTGTACAACACGAACCGCAATGAATAAATGGAACACTTGCGTACTGTATTTTCTAGGCTATTGGGCGTCCTCTTAAGCCTTTTACCCTATCAAAAAAATGACCACGCGTCCCGCAATTCAGAGCACCCTATACACGAATCCACTCGGGTGTCCCAGCACGACTTCAGTAAACTACAAAGCCGCAACACCCACAGCGCACGCAAACACGCACGGAGCAGACAGCGACCGCACAGCAAAAAACACATCCACACACACACTCATCACTCCACGCGGACGAGGAACGGAACAGAGGAACGAACCGAAAAAGCAAATGCAATGTGTCACTCTGAGCCACAAATGAACAACTGAGTCACTGCGAACACACCAACAATCCAGTGATCCCAGACAGCACCCTCCCTACACGTCACAACTGAACAAAGCTGAGAGTCACCGTGAACGCCACAAACAAAGTCCGACTGACCCATCAAACTGTTGTGTTTCGTTTAAAGTCTGGTGCAGATTATTTGTGAAAAAAGTTAGAAAATTGACCATTCTATAACAGTGCATCTTATAATCCAGAGCGCCTAATAGTGTGGAAAATACGGTATATCTTTTGAGTCAGAAGTTCATAATTCAATCTTCTACAGCTCAGATCTCATCGTACTACAGAAAAAATAAGCAACATTTTCCTTGTAGTACAGAAAAAAACCCAAAACAAACAAAACAAACAACAAAAAAAAACGTGATACCCATTAATGTTCAAAAATAAAAACATTCTTACTGTGAGCGAGGTTGCCTCTCCTCAGATCTGACTTGTATCTTGGTCCTGATTGGTCTCCATGAAGACAGAAAGGTTTAATGCCATACTGTGAAACATTCCAGACAAAGCAATAACATCTCCATGAAGAAACACATTTGACGGAGCCTCCACCAGAAAAGTTACACAGTGCACCTTGAAACTCAGGTCTCCATTGTGCCAAGACATGGCACTGTGAAAGTGAAAAAATATGCTGACCTGATTGAGGGAGCTATTGTAATGAAGTGAATGATAGAATTATATTTTTTACTATACTTCTCACATATTTGGCCAAACCTCCTTGTCAAAGCCTGATCTCCATCTCAGATCTCAGAAGCTAAGCAGGTCTGGTCAGGTTTTGATCACTTTTAACAGAACTTCATATCTTGCAAGCCAATTTTGAATATTTGATTTAAAATTACACTCAAAGAAAACCAAATTTTTGCAGTCGTCAGCAAACAAAAATGTTCATGCCAAACCCTGTTATCAACCAATAATAATCACAACTGTTTATACTAATACTTGTACTTTGTAGCTGGGTATGATGAGGGTGACCAGAATTTCAAAATAAAAAATTGGACATCCTTGGTTTTTTGGTATTTGGTAATAATAAAATTGTGAAAAGAGTGCATAATTAAGAAAAATTGTTATGCAGAGACCATTCATGACTAACATGTGAGTCAGTATAGTCACATTTTCTTTGTGTTTTGGACGTTTTTAAGCAGCTTTTCTGTATTTTACCTAAACAAATGACAGTTTATGCCTCTCTTTACTGTTGGGAGGGATCAAATTGTAAAAAAATAGGGACATTTCTTATATAAAACTGGGATAAATCACTGGTTTTATATAAATCTGCTGTGACAGGGGACCAAAGGCTCAAAACTGGGACTGTCCTGGGTAGTTTTTGTTGAAATTCAAACACCTAAACAGGACCATGAACGCATATATTGATCACAAACTTCTGAAAATGTTTTGTTTAAATCCATTTTGTATTTGAGTTTTCAGATCACTTTTTGGCAGCAGGCTAATCCTTGCATTGTGTCATATCGGCAGAACAACCCCAGCGTGATTTCACTGCAAAATATCAATACAACGCAAGTGACTCAAGCTGTAATAGAAATCCAAATAAAAGAAATGCATTTAAACAATATAAGTCAACATTATTTCAGCATGTACTTTATTCTGTTGTACTGCATGATAATAAGACCACCCAGCTCGCCCCAGATTTGTGCATGAGACTTGGAGAGATGAACTGTGCACATTAGACTGTAGGATCAAATATTCATGGCCTCTCTTCATATTCACGCTCTGTGCCGAGGCTGGAGTCAGCACTGGGTCCATTAGGCATCCTGTTATGTCATGCATGCTCAAGTACTACACAGACTATAGCTTTTAATAAGGAAAGGACAACTTCTTTCCACACATTTGTTACTGTAAATGTTGTCTAGTTATATCAGTTTCATTATGTGTCTCTTAAAGGTGCACTGTGTAACGTTTCTGGTGGAGCGTCCGTCAGAGGCTTTTCGTTACTGCTTTGTCTGGAATGTTTCGCAGTGTGGCATTCAACCGTTCTATCTTCATGGAGACCAAACCAGGCCATAATGATCATTTGGGTTGCCAGTTTCATGGTTGAAATCTAGTTGGTTTAACCCTTCCAGACCGACAGCATCATATACGATACCACCTGGGAATATGTTTTATATAACTGCGCATAACTTTCCAACCATAAAAGATAGAAACTTACTTTTTTTTTCTTGAGGTGACAGCTGTGGCTTTCCGAGAATTTTTCTAGGTGGCAGTAGCTGCACTGATCTGAAAGGTGGCGAAAAAAAAAAAAAAAACATCATTGATTGACCGGTCAGATCCATTGCTCCCAGCTCCCACAGATGAAAGCTGTCATTTTGTCCTTGGGCAAGACACTTAACCCCCCTCACTCACCTTTCTTCCTTGTTGTAAAGCGCTTTGAGTGCCTTGAAGGTGGAAAAACACTATAGAAAAATGTGACCATGTGACCAATATCCTACGTCACATGCATACATTGTGGTGACGTAGGGAAAACGAGTTTCCAATTGGAACTTTGTTTTCCGCCAGACACGTACGCTCCATCCATTTTGATTGGGCCATATTTTTCCAAAAACTGTAGAGAGTCAAAATGGTCGACTGCTCTGAACATCTGTGTTCAAATAATTTGAAAAAGTCAGTGTAAGTGCAGTTATTTCTCAAATAAATGGCAAATTAAGCATCTTGGGCTACATAATTGCACTTTCCTTGCTATTTTTATGTGAAAGGTTTATTTTACTCAAAATGTACAAATCCAAATGGAATAAACACCATGGAAATGCAGGAAGTGATGTGGCTCTGTGCTCTGGACCTGACACGAGCTGTTTCCATGATTGGCACCAGTAAAGTAAATTGGTGATTTAACTTTTTTAGTTTTTTTGTTTTGTTTTGAGGGCAATAGTTATATTTTTCGTTTACTCACAGAATTGATATTTTGCGCTTTTGTAGCTAAGGCCCTAAATTAAGCATTTTTCATATCCAAAAAAGTCAGATGAAGAAAAAGTGGCAGAGCGCTTCACTGGGTTTCAAAAGAGAAAAAAATAGCAGTACAGGTGCTCTACGAGGGTTAAAACAGTAATCTAGAAAAAGAAAGTTACCCCTACTGGAAAATGTAAAAATGGGCAAGGTACAAACCCGAGGCACTCTGACTGAATATATTAAAAGTCCTTTATTGTGTGAAGGGACGCCAACTCGTTTCGACCAGCAAGATGGTCTTTGTCAGGGCAAAGCGGCTTGACGAAGACCAGAGTTGTTTATACGTGTTTGCTGTGTGTTTTGTATGAAAGAGTGTGAATTTTAAAAATTTGCATTTCTGGTCCTATAGGTTTTTTTTTTTACAGCCATATGACACAACTACAGCATACAGATTGTGAAGTAACAGGTTGTGCTGAAAAAAAAGGATGCATAACACTTCATTAGGGGGTAAAAGGGGGAGTTTTAATAGCAAAATAAAAAATTAAATTCAGGCTCGGCTGTGATTGTAGTACCTGTGTGTGGAGGACTATGGAGAGAAAACGCAAGGTGATTTGACATATTTTACAGTAAAACAAGTATCCAAGTGCATTCCTTTGTCATAAATTCCAATATATGGTGAAAAATACTTGTTACCCGGGAAATATAAGGACCAAAATAAAATGTCCTATATTGAGGAAAATGGCCACTTTGCTTAATAGCACATTATAGCCTGACTTTTGAAGAGAAAAAAAACATCATCTTTGTCTGACCAACTGCGAAAAATACCTCTTTGACATCTGTTAGCTTTGCACTTTAACCATTAGTGCTCATTTTGATCTCTATCTCTAATATCCTCAGTGCTGACATGTCACTTTCTTTTGTCTTTTTTCAACAGGATGCCATTCCCGAGGGGCTGAGGATGAAGGGTGAGTGAGACTTTGCTTTCTTGTTTTTTGTTTCGCTTTTTTCCGCTGTTGTCTCTTGTTCAAAGTGAAGCATTATTGACCAAAACAGTGGGTTTCACAGTACAAAATCGATAACAACGGTTGTGGGAAGATTAGGAATGAAATGAGTCAATACAAGGACTCAATGGCAAATCTGGAGAGATAAAGTAACAGGCATTTTCAGAAAAGGAGAGGCACCAAACACTATTCAAAGGACATGTTTATATCGATTATTAAAGCTGCATTGTGTAATTTTTCTGGTGGAGGGTACATCACCTGCGTATATCCATGAAGACTGTCAAAAGAATCGGAAATCAGATACTAACTGAAGATAACACTAGTTTTGAAACTATATTTGAGAAAGTATCGATACTAAAATCACATTTGCAGGACCAGTGGTGGAAGATAATGAAGTACAAAAGTAAAAGTACAATGCTTAAGTACAATTTTTAGGTATTTGTATTAGGGGTGGGTGATATCTCGAGATTTTAAATATATTCTGATATTTTTAAAACTCAATATGGATTCTGACATATTGTATATATCGATATAATGATTATATTAAATTCTTGTTCTGCCGCTTCGCTTGTTTGCCTTCTCTGTCGTCGCCTCTGCACGCCCCCGCCTCCCTGATTTTGCTGCTTGTGTCTCATTCTCTCCTCACTATCGCCGTGAAGGCCCAAAGTTGGTGCCAGTGAAAAGCTTTTTGCACCAAAAACCTTTTCCACTATTTACAGACAAACCCATCGGCAGCACATCCTCTGTCACAGAGAGAACACTCATTTTCCCTTGAGTCGAGTCCTTTAGTCCGAAAGAAGTTGAACCGCAGCGAAATGTTTATGCAAATTACCAATGCGGTTTTAAGTTTAGTTTCTGTAAACATGTGGCAAAACTGCATTAAACACATTTATAATGTCAAACGGGCTGATGTGGCTCTAGAGTCGTTATGGTTTATATGTTGTAAAGTTTAGCAATGTAAAGTTTATTTATGCAGAATATTTTAATTAATAATCTGCTGCAGTGTCACTTGTACAATAGTGTTTGGAAACGTTGGGTTTGATCTGCAGTGGATTGTGGGATTAAACCTCAGAGCTCCTTACTGCTGGATAATAACATGGATCTATTGAAATAAGGAACATCCTGAGCTTCTTCTGCTAAAGGAGCTCATGGTTATGATTATGGTTTGGATAACAGAGTTAATGCAAAGATGAACTTGTGTTGAGTTGTTTTATTTATGAATGAAAAGAAGGAAATATGTATTATTTATTTTATTTTACAGTTAAATTATTATTTATGTAATTAGGGATTTTTTGTCATCTTAAATGTGGCAGAAGCACTTTGTTCCTACGTGAACTGCCTCTTGCACTTCAATAAAAAAAGACCTTGTGGAATTTGGCATATTTGTTTTTTGCAGTTTGCAGTTTTGAGGGGTTATTTTCCCTCTACAGATATCGAGATATATATTGCGTATATGTGTGCATATATATATATATATATATATATATATATATATATATATATATATATATATATATTATATATATATATATATATTAAATTTTTTTTTGCTCCATATTGCCCAGCCCTAATTTATATGTTACTTATGTACATTTTACAGTGTATTCTTTTTACTTTTACTTCACTACATTTGAGAGCATCTATCTGCACTTTCTACTCAAAACATTTTAGATCTGGACTAAAAAGTAAAAAGTACTTTTCTTTATAGTTTGAGACCTTCTGAAATGGGTGAATTTTTTTTAGCACATTTAATTTTAGTTAATGTCCACAACTTTGAGCAAACCAAATACACAAATACACAAAAACAGCTAGGAAAATGAAGAAATCAATTGAATCACTTCAAATCAGCAAAATTCTTTGTCAAAATAACTACAATTGATGTTTTAATTGCTCTATACATCTCTGCAAGACACTTTTTTTGTCTTAAAGTGCAATTTTAAACAGATACTTCAATAGTTTTACTTACGTAGATTTTTCCATTTGATACTTTTACTTGTACTTGAGTAATCTTTTGCCCCTGTATCTGTACTTTTACTTAAGTAAGAAAATTTGAGTACTTCATCCACCACTGCACAGGACAAAAATGAACCTTTCCTGAATAGATTTAGAATGAATTGACTATGGAACCTATGTGGACGACTGAGGGATTCGAGTATATTCCTTTGTACTGAAATAGAGTTTGAAATTTTAGTATCGTGACAACACCAATGGAGATGTTATTGCTTAGAATGTTCCACAGTATGGCATTAAGCTCGTCGACTCTATGGAGAGAATAAGGTGACACTACCAGGTCAGGTTATAGATCAGATCTGTGTAGCGGAGACACTTGAGACACATCAATGCAAAATTATAAAACCAGCTTTTGTGTGTTTATGAAGAATTATCACGTGGGAGCAGGTGGGCAGAGTCTTGGACAGGCTCGTACTGCAAGGAGAGATCACTAGATTACTCAAACATGCATGAAGGACATATAAAACCTCTTCAGACTTGGTTTTGATGAGGGAACAATGTTATAAAATGGTAAAAAGCTCAAAAAAAGTACATTTTCCATAATAACTCTATCACTACATAGACTTAAACTTAAACTTTATTGATCCACAAGGGAAATTATTTGGACACAGTTGCTCACACATCACAATATATAATAATAACAAAGACCAAAAATATAAATGGTGATAATGAATTCACTGTAAATAGCAAAAATATCAAGGATGTGCTAATGAAATGTCAATACTGTAGAACTCAAACTGTGACAGATACAGGTCTACATTCACACCATACTGCATACAACTGTACAAAAACTCACCCTTATGTCACAGATAATACTCCCTACAACTGTACAACAACTCACATTTACAGTATATAACAGATAGGCCTGTGTTTCTGTCAATCATCATATCATCTTTGCACCGTTTCATTACGACCTTTTGTATATAACTGTGATATATTGTATTTATATTACAATATTTGTTTTTTACTTACTGTACATATATAATTTATGTCTTATTGACACCAATCTATTGCTATTTTTATAGATTTTTTTTTTTACTCCGTTATAGTAATATATTGTGATGTGTGAGCTACTGTGTCCAAGTAATTTCCCTTGTGGGTCAATAAAGTCTAAGTAGATGCAATAAAATTCTAATGAGTGTCTTGAACATTTAATAAGAAATGATTCACTTGTATTAATAATTTCACTCATTTTAATAAAAAATAGCATCATGGTATTAAAATTTGTAGTGAGCTGTTTCCTTTTGGTCTTGGAATCTAAAGTTTTACATTTTAGATTTGCTACAATATATACTAGGGATGTAACAATAAATGAAATATTGTGATGTGATATATTGTCAGAATTACAAGTCTTTTTGCTTAAATTAAGAGTTATGGTGCAGCAACAACTAAAAACAAAACAAAACAGAGAACTACATAGACTATGATCCTTTGCTCCATTTCAGTGCAGACTACAAGAAGAAATAACAGTTCTAAGCACTTTTATGTCTTAGTTCTTTGGATCAAGTCTTGTCAAGGCATTTAAAGAGGAAAAAGTAACATATTAACAGTTTTGTTAACTTCCACAAAATATCGCAATAAATGTCATACTGTGAGATGAATATCGTGAAAATATCGTACAGAGAGATTTGGATATTGTTACATTCCTAATCATGAGCCTCCTCACCATATCGTGAGCTTTTCCATGATATCGCAATAAATATCGTACCGTGAGGTTCATACCGTGAGGATATCGTATCGTGAGACTTGAATACCATTACACCCCTAATACATAGAATATATGGTCAGATTATAAACTTTTTTTTTTTTTACTAGAAATCCTTGTACCTTTTTGGATTTCCTACAATGTTACCAAAAAATTAACCATTACCAATTACAATTTTTATCATCAGCCCTCACAAAAAAATAAATAAATAAAAATAAAAAATACAATTATAGTAGCATTAGCATTTTTATCTTCACCAAACCAGGAATGCGCTGTTAGCATGCTAGTTGTCATTAGCATTGCCTTGACTGCAGAACTTTCCTCTGGACTCTTAAAGTTATGGAATCACTTATAAAGTCATCAAGGTGAATGATTAAGATTCTTGAAATGCATAATGTTAGTGAGGAATAATTTTGGACCACTGCAAACTGTTTCAAATGAGCTAGTTCAGTGAAAGATGGTGAAAATCAGCTAGTGCGCCATTTTATTAGGTTACTTTTTCCCTTCTCAGTCAATTAGTAGTAAACTTTGCTGGATCGCCTTGAAACATGAGGGTCAGTACTGATGAAGTGTTTTGCTCAAGGACAGAACATCAGTAAGGAAAAGAATTAATGGCTCAGAAATGCAGCGTTAGTGTAAACAGCAGCATTTGAAAGCCTAAGATACTATAAAGCTACAATAATACCGTGTATATGGCCAAAATCATAAACATTTTATATCGAAAATCTTTCACGTTTTCTCCTGTAATGCTACCAGAAAGTAACTTAAAGTGCCAATGATGGATTTGACTACTCATTATATTTTGATTTAGCTAAAAATGTTAACTTTTATTCATTTATTGGTTGGAAATCATATGGTACAATAGGCCAAAACTTCTCTAATGTACACTAAAATTAATATATCTGACAATAAAAAATATAAAAAGACACCTTTATTTTGTTGAAATTATGTTTAAAGTACCAAAAAATGTGTTTCTTGTGCATAAATTGTGTTGAACTTTTAGACAAAAATTCTACCCGGTGTGATCGATATGGAGCTCCCTAAAACGGAACTCTTTACTTCCTTTAATTTTCAACATATTTTTTAATTTTTCTCCATGAATTGCTTCCAGATTGGTGTAAAACTATAATTTCTATTTACAACAGGTGTTACCTCACAAAATTAAGTCAAAATTAGAGAATCAGTCATACGCACTTTAAACCATTTTTACCTTCAGCATCTATGCGATATTAAAATGAAACTTCACTTT